TATAAAGGTAGTGGTTACCCTTAGGATAGGACCGAGTTAGTTGTGGGTAAACAACAGGAGGATTTGCTGAGGAGTCTCCTTGATTTATTAGGGTATATATACAGGTTGTTTGTACAAGTGTACTATACAGTTGATGGAGGCAGTGGCTGATGATGTCATGGGGCACAGCCCGTGTGACCAGCCCCACTGCATGAGAGACTTGTAGCTAAAATAAGGAAAAAGGCAGCATAGCATGAGAAGGTGTGTTACGCACGAAGTGCTTAACAAAGTCTGAGGGTTCGTTGAGGTTTGTAAAGAGACTTATCCGAAGACAAGTTCGAGAACGTGGTTCTGAGTGGAGGTTTTCCAACGGGAGTTGGTCTTCTTCTGAGTAGAAGTCTGATCTTAGGAGTCTAGCTTTGTAAGCGTAAACTGCATAGAATCGTATTGGAGAATACTACTGCTGTTACATGGTATTTATAATGGAGAGGAATCGGTGATAGGAGTTAGGTCCTATCTAGGGCAGGTCCGTCTGTTGAGGACTAAGTACTATAATAGGTACTGTAAATGCGAGAGGAACAGAAGTGTACGTGAAGGAAATGAGTCATCGGTCCGATGGTATAACCGATGAGTAAAAAGAAATGAGTAGTCCTTAAATGTCCAATAGAGATCATAACAGAGACTCCTCAGCGAGTCCTCCTGTTATTTACCCACAACAAATTTGCTCCTACCTAGGGAAGTTTATCCACTCCTTCCCTCACCCCTTTTTGCTTGTTGTAGTTGTGCACCAGAGTATAAAAAACTTTGGCTGCTACAACAGGTATTGAACCACAATCACATATAGAAATAATGTCAGACAACCAAGAAGCAATTACACTCACTAAAAACAATGATATATAGCACCTATCATATCCATGCCACAGGCCATGGTTTCCAGACTTCCAAAAAGTCAGAGATTCTGTCAGAACCATGACCTTCGGAGTATCAGAGCTTGGAGTGTGGAGATCAGGTGGGGAGTGGAACAGAGTATGAGGTTGCGAGTTGACTTAGCTCGTGCGCTAGGCCCTTCTGTGGATCTTGATCCCTAATTCAATGAAGTGAACAGGTGAGAGTAGAGGATGAAAGGTGGAGTGGAGTAAAGGTCCTTTGGAGAAGGACCGGATGTTACAACCAAAGTTTGAATACTCTGGTGCACACAGTGACAAGCAAGTGGAAAGATGGAGGAGTAGGTAAACCACTTTTGATAGGACCGAGTTAGTTGTGGTTATACAACAGGAGGACTTGCTGAGGATCTATTGGGGTTTATATACTAATACAGGGTGTTTGTACTTATGTACTATACGGTTGATGAAGGCAGTGGCTGTTAATGTCATAGGGCACAGCCCAGGCTTAAGGGATATCCACAAATTTGGCTACACAACATTTGCAAAGATAATTGGCACTGGCAAACTAGAACCCCATCAAAAAAGCAAGCAAATAGGTAGGATACATATGATGATGAGTCTAGTTCTCTGAGCTTTCCACACAGATCATGGGCACAGATGGTAAGTAGTGAACAGCTTATGTCAGTTTTGATGAGCAACAGGCTCACTCTTCCAATTGAAATTTGTATTACAAAATATCACACTTTGAGGCTTATCAATGCCAAATGAAGGCCATGCAAAATAGGGCTGCTTTGTGCTCACTTTGACAGCACAATGAGCTTGTGTTTGTATTACCTATATCTGCATGACAGTTTTCACCTGGTCTACTAATGTACATGGACTATATAGTAGATATAAGTAGTGAAATAGCCCCTGAATGACACTGGTATTAGCTCTACGTATTTTAAACCCTTGGTTGATGAAGCTTAAATGGGGAAACTTTTGGCCTTTCCTTCAGGACTTCAGCGCTTGCGAACGAGATTATCGAGGGCAGCTGACCTCTCGAAGCAGTAATTCTAAGTGTGTGTGTGAAGGTCTTCTCGTCAGGCTTACGGCTCACCGGGCCGATAGATACATAAATACTGGTTGGCGATTCCTCCCTTCTTGCGTTCTCACTGTACACAATGTCTTATACTCTGGAGCAAATTGCTGATCACAAAACCACAGCGTGAGTACAATCTTTTGATACTGCACTGTGAAACTTATATCAGTATCTAGTTCATGTTGGGTCATCATCAGAAACAAAGTATATGATGTGACTGGTTTCTTGTTCGTGAGTTGTACACGGAATTTCATTCAGCTTCTAGAATTTTATCAAGGTTTTGTTAGGACCATCCTGGAGGTGCTCAGGTAATACTAAGGTACGGTGGACGCGATGCAACGGCGGCTTACGAGCCTGTTCACCCCTCCGATGCCCTTGACAAGAACCTTCCACCAGAGGCCCACCTCGGAAACCTTTCTGACAGCGCCGTACAAGAGCTAAAGGAAGCGAAACAGAACGTGACCAAGACAAGGGAAGAGCTGCGAGTAGAGGAGGCGAGGAATAACAAGCCACCACTGAGCAGAATGATAAACGTCCAAGATATTGAAGTACGCATTGACCAGGACGGAGTCAGAAGGATGAGTGGCCATTAATTCGCATTTTCTCCAGGACGTTGCAAAATCAATCTTGCCATACAAAGCATATGCCTACTATGCTTCCGCTGCTGACGATGAAATCAGTGCGCATAGTATCCATTTCTTCGTTAATTTCACTCTCACGCCGAGTCTCCACAGCTCACATCGAAAATGCAAGAGGTTTTGGTAGATTCTTCTTCCACCCGCGAGTAATGCGTCCTGTATCAGGATGTAATACTTCAACTACCATGCTAGGCTACAAATCATCAATACCCGTGTACATTAGTGGTGCTGCCCTCGCAAGGTTAGGTCACCCAGAGGGAGAAGCAAACTTGACGCGTGGTGCCTATAAAACTGGGATCATCCAGATGATATCCACCAACGCCTCTCTTTCTTATGGCCAGATTGCTGCTGCCCGCGGTTCACCAGATCAACCCATATTTTTCCAGATTTACAAACACAAGAACGACGAGACTGCCGCGAAGCGAATAAGAGAAGTAGAGTCGTTGGGATACAAGGCTATCTTTTTAACTGTCGACGCCCTTATTCCGGCCAATCGGGAACTTGACCATAGGTCACCGCATTACCTTGAAGACTTCGAAAACCAGGGTCGCAGTGCTAAGCGAACTGAGGATGCTGAAGAAGGTGATGTGGACATCCTCGGCACAGCCGGTGGACTGATCATCAATAACGATGTTGACATGACATGGGAAAGAGTAAGATTTGACTTTCTAAAGAATGTACGTATGTTGATCTTCATTTCACTCTACTCAGACGATACCCTGGATTAGAAGTGTAACGAAGTTGCCTATTGTGATCAAAGGTTAATTCCTTGTATCTTGTACAAATTTCCAGTGGTGTTAACATTTGACTCTCACATCAAGGTATTCAGTGTGTTGCGGTTTGTGTATTTAGTTTTTGATATCGCAACGTCACTTATCAATTTAACTTGTAGGATGCCGTTTTGGCTTGTGAAGCCGGTGTGGAGGGTATTGTGATTTCTAACCATGGCGGTAAGGCTCTCGTTTACGTAGAACAAGTTAGAATGACTTGAAATTTTTTACTAGGCCGGCAGCTAGAATAGTAAGTAGCGTACAATGGCTTCCTTCCGGTTGACTCACAGACAACCGCTAGTGCACTTCCACCCATAGAAGTCCTCTACAAAATACGGAAAGAACGTCCAGATGTCTTCGACAAGACAGAAGGTGAGTTATTGCCTTTCACTACAATGAGCAGATTGCTTGACAGAGTGTATCAGTATATATCGACGGTGCGATACGCCGTGGAACAGGTCCGTACTTTTGCTTCTACGTGTAAGGTTAGTTGTTAACTTTTGATAAAGATGTACTAAAGGCACTTTGTTTGGGGGCCACCGCGGTCGGACTTGGAAGGGCGTTCCTCTATGCACAGAGTGTAGGCATATAGCTTCTTACTTGATGTCGTTCCCTGATTTAAGTGGGTCTATTATAGGCGTACGGAGAGGCGGGTGTGGTCAAGATGGTCCGAATCTTGCAGCGCGAGATCAGGTTTGGTATGGAGTCTCTCGGTGTACGGACGGTGAAGCAACTTGTCCCGGAAATGGTATGGTCCCTTCTACAACTTGAAGATGCTCGTAGAGTATTCATACATGATTTCACCAGGTGGAGCGTGTCGATTGGCAGCCTGTCAGTGCCAAGCTTTGAAGAGTTGTTGCAGCGTCCAGTAAAATTGCAACACTTCCCAAGCAAATCTATATCAATTTATGTATATCACTTATCATCTTCTGCGGCACCATTTATTGAGATATGTATGTCTGGCTGTATTATATAGCGCCAGTGTTATCGAGCTATGAATCGAAGGAAATGCTTGAATACTACTGCCAATATACCTGCTGTAGACGTCGTGGAAGGCAGTTGTTGTGAGATGAGACTAGCCAAATGTTTCATGTTAGATAGACATAATGTTAACATTATTTGCATCGGTGGTTAAAGGAAGTGATTGATTTATGTTGAAAACCGATGCCACAGCAGGGGGAAGGCAGTGGCCATCGAGGCAATTTACATTGATTCTCAAGGAACGCTTGTTCATTTCCACGTCGACGCTGACAATCTAGTAAACAGGTCATGCCCGATATCGAAGTTGGGTTCGCAGTGGTATATCATATGTAAGGATACATACCGAACTCACGATAACAAAGCGATGTAGCTCAAGCTCGACAAGACCTATATATAGATAGGCGTTTGAGAGAAGTGGCATGGCAAGATAACACGATCAGGGAGGGAAAGCAAAGCGGTAGAAGAGGGTTTGTGAATCTGTGGCCACTAGGGTAAGGAGACGGCCTACTGCTCAGCAGAAGGTGCAGAGAAAGACGGGCTCGAGTGGCAGCACGTCTACCGAAATAAAGCCACTGATGAGGGGAGGCCATGTAAAAATTGATAGTGGAAACAACAAAGTGCAATTACAGGCGAGTGAAGGACAACGGTGAAAATAAAGGGTGTTGCGGGGCAAGTCTACGTCAATGCCAGTCGTAGAATAAACCAGCCAGGGATTTCATCCGGCAACGATATCGATGAAATGCTTCAGTGCCATCTACGGTGCGTTGGAAAAAATAACGAGGAGGTTCATAGGGAGCGGTGAATAAAATAGGATTTACGGTGGGGGTGAGGGAGACGGACAGAGTTCGAATTTAGAGTGGCAAGTGAGCCGCTTTGTTTTGTTTTGGCGGATTGCGATACCAGGTGGACGGAGAACGAAATCAAGCATTATTCCACCTTCGCTTGCCTCCACTGAGGGACACTTGCTGCTGGTTTAGTGGACTGTATGTTGTAAAGAACGAGTCCATCAGAGCTTCAGCACAGCTATAACCTCAAAATACCATACGGAACTTCTGTGGCCACAAACATGGGATTTCTGGCGACCAAGTTGCTACGGACTTCTGTTGCCTTGCTTTCACTTCACTTTCCTGACCATCACGACGTCTTTCGTCTTTGGGGCACCATCATCAGTCGAATTAATTTAAATAAAAGCTCACGATATTCTATGGCCTGACGTCGACACGCTGCGTCACTTGGCGTCTGGAGACGGCAGTCTTTACAAGCATCGGCCAAAAAATTTTGACGATGGCTCCACAATATCAACGTTGTCACCGGCGTATAACATACGGTCGTGATGTCTGCTCTGCTTGTATATTCACGCACGCAAGACTGGGATTTTCACGTTCTCTGACCTTGTCCTGGTGGGCGACACGTCTCAATGGGACATGTAACTCATGGGCGATAACACATTTGCTGCAGTCGACGGTGCTTGAGGTGAGTAATTTCATCTCATGTTTTCATGTGCCTTGATTCTTGGGATAATTGGTTGGATTACATTGCATTACACGATGGTGTACAGGATGCTTTGAAGATCTTCGTTCATTGCCTTTGTTGAGGGGGACATTATTGACAGTTGGACCCTGTTCTTGAATTCAAACTGTTGATATATTTTCTTTTCGTATGTTGAGGGGCTTGATGAATAGTTGCGTTGAGTTGTATTCAATGGAATTTACATCGATGGTGAAAGGACTTGCCTCGTTCTTGCGCCATTCAGTGACGTGTGATGTGACATCACGCTGTGTCACACACGATCGCTGTTACGCTACGCGCGTTTTAGCGCCCTTATCTATGTGGTGCAGAGTTGGACTCGAGAAATAATATGTGATGAGCGGGCAAACGTTTGGAAGCCCATGCGAGGTGCATTCAAAACAGAAAATGCTTACAGACTGTCAGGAGGTCCTTGGTGGTACCCTTGGTACGACGTGTGGATGTACGAGGTCTTGGTGCAAATGTGACCAGATCGCCTTGGTTCCACTTGTTACCGGCGCACTTCCATAGCGCTATGAGGAGGATATGAATGAGAATCCAATGCTGACTTCTCTGTTGAATAGATACGTGCTCGCAGCACCACTGTTCGCATGATCTCGACGTCCAAGACATTGAAGCATGCCCGTTCTTCTTATGGAGAAAACCGGAGCCATTCTCATGTCTCACATCGAAGTCATTCGTCCAATGGAAGCTTATGCACACATCTACTCAAACTGCAGAATGTCACAGCTGTTTGGCTATCGTAGGTTCGTTAGATCATCAAAGACACAAGAAGAGGCGCGACCCTCGTTTACTTCCGTGGAGGCAAAATATTTGTTTGGTTGACATTTTATGGCCGATCAAACGCATATACAGAAAATGCCCAGGTAATCGAAAGTTGCCTTTCTTCGTAGAGGTGGCGGAATGTAAGGCTCTAGGTCGGCGACTCCTCAGCATTGTCGTGCCCTCAAAATTTGCGCTGCCGTCAGACTAGTCAACGTTAAATAATGGCCGCCCTCGATTCATATTACTCGCCGTCTCCTTTTTTCACTCCACCAACGACCAAAAAAATGCGTCTACCATCATATCGCCAGTCCCATTTGCTTCGCTACCACCCATATCCACGGGTGACTCCCAGCCGCCAGGCTATAGTGGTGATTTTGTGTCTCGTTGTATACTCTGGTGGGTTTTTTACTTACTGACACGTGGCGGGCAGAATGCGATGGACGAAGGGCTAAATAATTACGAGGATTTCGACGATAATCCACCAAATTTTTGCCTCGTACGTTCTTTCGCCTTTAGCATAGTTGGGCACAGCTAATCGACGAACAGCCGGTTTTATATGGATACGACGAGCTCGAGGTGGCCTTGAGATTAGAGGCAGCGCTCGGAGTTATGAACGAGGGCGCCATTCCACGTCGCCGCATCACGCATCTTATTCTAGTACGTTACTCTACCTTTTACGAGTATTTCTTCCACGTAGCTCGCCGCTGATGAAATTTTCACAAGGATCTTGCCTTTCTTCTTCAAAGACAGCGTTTTTTGCGCCAGACACGCAGGTTCATGGAGGTCCTTGGCTCCCATGCATCTAGCTGAACGACATGGAACCGGAATGATCTGAGTCGGTGGTTGGAACAAACATCCTATTGTATATAATATGGTTCAAGTTCGTATAATCGTATATGTTTTCTCTTAGTGCTCGGTTGACCTGCTAAACCAACGACGGTTTGCGCAAGAGGGTCTCTCATCGCCTATATGTTACGCATGTCCACATTCCTTGAGCGGATGGTAGACCGAAGTTAATCGAGATCAAAACACCGATTGAAGAGGCTCAAAGTTGCAAATTCGATATAGTGAATGCTCCCAAGTGTGTTTCATTCGTTCAAGGTCCAATGTGATCAAGTCATCGATACCCTCAGCATGCCGTGACCCCAATACCGATACAAGGAACCGAAGCAGTGTAACGATGAGATAGGATCAAACGGTACAAATGGAAGTTCAGCAAAAACACAGGCAGGGATAGTTATCGACGATTCCCTGGCGAGCCCAAGGCTGCAAACTCAACGCAGGGAGCGCGCCGTATGCATAGTATGGTTGATAGTATTATTACTCAAGGAAGACGAAAGCCACTAGCTCATACACAGAAAGGTTCAGCACAAAAAATAACAGACAGGCATAGTGATATCCCCAGAGAGCCCAACACTGGAAACTTAACGCAGGAAGCGCGCTGTATGAGTGCACAGCAAATTAGTATCATTATTGCTCAAGAATCACGAAAGCCGGAAAACGATTCAATGGACGTGTTATTTCGTTGGTTCGGAAAAGTATAACGCAGTCCCTTTGATAACTGTGCCTACTACATGATCAGACAAATGTGTCTAATTATTATTTATGCATTTATGCAGTTACTCTCAGCTTGACAAATAATACTGCGTTTTAACGAGCGTATCTCTAGAAGCGCTTGGATAGAAAGTCCTATAAGAATTCCCTGTAACTGTTGGTAATCACAAAATTAAATCAATCCTGTCTTCTTCTTCTTCTCTTCACGTTAAACATAGCGAATATTTGAAAGGGGTTTTCAAGGGCGCAATCACCTGGGTGTAGATTTGTGATAAGGGAATGCAAAACATTATGAAGGCACGAAAATACAAAGGCGTCACTCCCACGTTCCCTACTGGCAGATAAGCGCTTTTGCAAGTATATTTCGAAGTGTACTGCTGAATTTACGGAGTTCCGCAGAGTCGTCAGTGGGCTGGAACCTAGCAAGGTCGGTAGCATTATCCGCTCTCGTCTTTTGTACCTCGGAGTTGGACACGATAGTTGCTATAAGGTGGCTAGAAGTCGATGTTAAAAGCGTTGTAAGGGCTGAGAAAGGTTTCTTTGTTCGTCATTGTCACAATTCGGGCGCCTGACTTTGTGACCTCTATGCGTGCCAGTGCTAGGATTCAATGAAAAGGCTAGAACACCATCGGAGGGGCTTTGGTCTCTATATTTGAACCATCTGTGCGCCACAGAGCCATTCCATTCTTGTTCTATCTCTGGTGTCTCCATCCTTTGATCCTCGGAGCTGGAACTCCGAAATGGATTGTTCAGCCACAGATGTCTTCCACACACCTCTTGCAAAATCACATGCAAAGTAGTCAAGGCTCCCCCAACAAAGGCGAAAGTTGAAGTGAAGGCTGGTGAAAGGAGCATAGAAATCGAGTATGTGAGGTGGTGAAATCCAGAACGGGGGTTAATCGATTGTCCATGTCCGTGAGTAACTCAAGGATGAGCTTGCGCGTCGACTCCAGATTCTGGAGGACGTTTTTGCTTGCTAACCATCCATGGGATCTGGTGAGCAGAAATGAGTGAAGTGATGGAACCCGAGGATAAAGATATGCGGGGCAGCATAGACGGTACTGGGTAAATGGCGATCATCTATAAATGTATCATATTTCAAAGTATCACATCTTGAATGCTGTGAGAACTGCTGCTATCTTCTCGGACCCGTATAGCGTATTCTGCGACAAAGGCGATTTTAGATAAAATGTATGATGTCCAACTTACTTGCAGAATGGTTTTTGATCAAAAGCTGAAGGGATTTGGACAAGTGTATGGCTTCTAGTCCACACTCCCCGACTACGTTGGTACGCTGACTTGGACGGCTCGTGCTGGAGTGTGTGTCAAAAAGGCCAGCCACATGTCCAGTGTCAATGTGCTGGGGCCTAGCAAGGATGGTACCATTACCCATTCTCGCCTTTCGCGCCTCGGAGTTGGACACGATAGTTGCTGTAAGGTGGCTAGAAGAGCGTTGTAGGGGCTGAGAAAGGTTTCTTTGTTCGCTGTTGTCACAATCTGAGTGCCTACCTTTGTGACCTTTGTGCATGCCAGTGCTGGACTCCGTCGAAAGCCTGGAACACCATCACAGGGGTTTAAGTCTCTATATTTGAACCACTTGTGTGCCACAAAAGCTTGTCCTATCTCTGGTGTCTCCATCATTTGATCCTAGGAGCTGGTACCGACGTAGTCTCTATATCCAGAAATGAACTATTCAGCCACAGATACCTTCCACACACTTTGCAAAATCACATGCAGATAGTCAAGGCTCCCTTCAAGAAAGGGGAGAGTTGAAGTCGAGACCGGGGAAAGGAGGAGCGTAAAGGGAGCTATGTGAGATGATGAAATCCAGAACGCGGGTATTCGATTTTCCATGTCCGTGGATAACGATAACTCAAGGATGAGCTTGCGCGTCCACTACAGATGCTGGAGGACGTTTTTGGCTTGATGATCATCGATGAGATCTGGTGAGCAGTCTGGCGATAAAGAAATGCTGATCAGCATATACGATGCTGGATGATTGAAGTAGACCCTCTACAGATGTCCCATTTTCTTCAATGTATCACATTTTGAATGTTGTGAGATTTGCTGTTACCTTCTCGGATTCGTGGAGCGCGTTCTGGGACAAAGGCAATTTAGATAAGATGTACGAAACCCGACTTACTTGCCGAATGGTTTTTAAATCAAATGCTGAAGGGATTTGGAGAAGTGTATCATAAATTCATGGCAACTAGTCCTCCCCGACTATGCTGGTACGCTGATTTCAAGTTGCACAGTGATGGCTCGGAGGCCAGCCACAAGCCAGTGTGTGCGCATGCGCCCACTTGAACAAACATTGAGACAACAATTGTTATGCGAGGACTCACTACTTACTTTCACTTGACTTTCACTGAGACTATCACTGACATGCTTTCGAGTTGTCTTCCAGTCTCATGTCGTGCGTAATGTATCATATTATCACCAGCCTAACTTGCTATCCAAATAACATATCACATACCGGAACTTGAAGCTTGAATATTTCACCCTGCTGTTTTTCTCGAGTTTTCCTCGTCGCACCCACGACGCCGCGGTCGTTAATATTTATACCATTTAGCTGCAGGGACACACATCGCACGCGCACTTGTGCATTTTGGAAGGTGATTTTGGTACAAGCGTCGTCTTCTTGTCCTCGTCCTCCGATCGATCCGATTTCATTTCCGGCACCGCAGGTATAGCATTCTTCAAATCCATTCTGCAGGCTCCAGCTTTCTCAAACTGAACATCCATGACACGGTGTCCCAGGTCCTTTCCTTGCTTTATGCACGTCACGCGACTCGCTTGGGTGAAGCCTGTGCCAATGATAGATCCTGGACGTGCGACACATATTCTGGATTGCGATAGTAAACCGATATGATAGCCTTCGTTCTCATTTCGGTCACCTAATGGCACAAATCCCGCGCAGACTCTCCACAAATCCATCCCCACTTCGCCATTGCAAAACCACCTCAGGCGTAGCTCAGTGCTCAGCGCTCAGCTGCGAGTACAGTTTGCCATTCGGAGCTTTTCTGGCACACGACTTCTTTGTCTGACACAATGGCTGACACGTTTCCTGGGCAAGGAACAATCTTCTTTCATATCCGCATTTTGAGTCATCGCACACGTTGCTTGCCTTTCTCAACTCTTCCTTGCATATCGATGATATCTCTAAGCTTGGCGTACGTTATCACATAGCATGACGGACCCTGCGCAATCGTCACGTCATTCAAATCCCCTGTTTTCTTTGACTTCTCCCGCTCCTTCGCGAATGCATCTCGATACTCCAATGACACTCATCTATAAGCTTTTTCAACTCTGCCTTGCCTGCTTTAGAGCACGTTTCGCTAGTGCGTTCCGAATTTCGTTCTCAGATGGGCGCAAAGGCGAACACAGCAATGACACGAGCCTAACCTTCTTTTCGTTCATCATTCTTCGAATTGTCACAGATTGTGATTGTACACGAGCGTTAGCTTGAGTGTCAAACTGGGCGACTATCAACTCGCCACCATTGACCCACCATCAGGTTAACCTCGGACTTGATACGGCCAGCCCCTAAATACTTGGCAAATCACTTCAGGTCAGGAACGGTGTACAAGGTTCATGATCTCCAAACTCTGTCTTTCTGGAATGTTGATTAAAGTCTTCCAAAGCTTCTCTTTAGAATCTTATAGTGCTTACACATGCCCGACCAAACGTCAGCTCTCAACCGCCATGACGAACCCAAAACAGCATGTATCCCGCGTATGTCGAGAAGGTCTTCATATCGGCCTTACTAGCCATTTGAGTACTATCAAGGAAGCCGTCCTCCCTCGCTATGCCCATAACCCAGCGAGCCACCCGCGCTTTACGGGCTCTCAGCTTCAGGGGTCTATTTTCTCAATATCAACTTGTTTAGTTCTTTCCCTTGGCTAGCTGACTTACGAATGCCGTCTGTGCGCTTCTGTAGGACACGTGTAGTGCGTGCATGAATGAAGGGGCATGTCCGCATTATTTTTGACAGGTGCAGAGTAGGTGCGAGATAAATGACTGATTATCGATTATCTTACTGACGTTATATTATGTTGCCAGAGCTTTCGTCGTTCACGTGTTGTACTGCGATCGATCATCGATTGGGTGTCATACTGAGAGTAACGAGTTACATTGCGGTTGTGTTATCTGCATGATTTGGTCATGGTTCTTCGATGCAATAACCGAAATAAATACTGGTAGTCCTTCAGTATGTGTACGTACACGAATACCATAATGCTAAGCTTCTTAATTTTCTCAATTTTAGACTCCAGCATTACTGCACCTCGTATCTTTCCTTCCTTTGTTCATCCTATGTATCACCTTCCCACAATCACCTTCGGGTCCCTACCTCGCCATCACTGTAATGGAAACCGCCCTCCTAAAAGGGATTTCTTACTATGGCCATCGTAGGAACAAAACGTGGGAAGCCCACGACTTGCTCATAGAGCTGCATTATTGCGATCGATCAGCTTTGCTGGGTGACCCAAGTTTTATTGCAGTTGTAGTATCGGTTCGTCGCGTGGTGACACTACGCTATGTACGTACCCGAGAACACTGCACAATCAAGCCTTCTCAGTTTTCTCACTTTGGACTCGAGCCCCTTTCGTGCACTTCGCATCTTCCATGATATCACCATCCCATCCCATCTCGTCAACAGTAACCGCTCTCCTACGAAAGGGACAAAGCATCATTAAATACGCCGCGCTATGGCACGCCTAAAAGGCGCAAGGTTTACGACTTGTTCATAGCGCGCGGCCGATCGACGAGTTAATGGCAGCTGTACTGTCCGTTCGTCATGTGGCTCCTGGTTCTTTTGATGGGCCACTACCGAAACGGAGGATGGTAGCACTTTTGTGGTGCGTGCGTGTACGTACGCGAGTATACCACTCATGCGAACTGCGGTCAGTTCCTTCTCGGTTTTAGACCCCTTCCCATTGTTGCGTTTTCATCTATTGTCTCGCCATATCCAGCTATATGCTTTCCATTTCCATCCGCATTCTTCGTATTCCATTTTTACCTTTCCATTTCGCGCGTCTTGCGCCGCCGCCATAATGAGAACGGTGAACGGGTCCCAGGATGTCTCTCCGACAGAAAAAGGGAAGGGGAGAAGGAACGACAAAGGTTATCTTTTTATCTTTTTGTTGTAGCCCGTGACAAGTCCATCCTGGTCGTGCGAGGCTTTGTTCCTTCCTCGGCAAGCTCAACAACTTCGTTCGAGCACGCTGAAGCGTGGCATGTGACCGCGCCAGACATAGCCTTACTGCAACCTCATTTTCCTAGCCAACGTCTAACCCCCTCCCCCCCCCCCCCCCCCCAAATTGAATTCGAAACCCTTCTTTGCCCCCTTTTCAGTCCCATTTCCTTCTTCTCACAAATCAACGCCCGAAAAAAACAGTGCAGGGCAAATTCGTGAAGAGAGCCGCCGAGCTTCAATCAGCGCCCATAGCCACGATGAAATCATCATCTTCACAACGATTACGATCAGAATCACGCACGTTCAAAACCAAGAACCAAGAAAAGACAACATCCCGGGGAGTTTGGACCGTTGAATACCAGTAATACATCAAACGCTCAGACCCCATCAAATTAAAACCACACACCCCCTTCAATGCCATTGTTTTGCCAAACTCATAACGGACCTGGAAAAACCGAGAGTAGGACCTGTGTGTGCCATTTCTTCGCCTCACGCAACCACAGCCAAATTTCTTGCTGTGAGCGTAGGGTTTCATAGCGTTCTCACTTTCTTCCTCCCCCCCCTTTCTCCTTCCTTCCTTCCATTCCCCGCCGAAGAGGGTGAGAACATGTGGGGTGGGGCAACTTCCCTTCGTACCGAGCCTCCCTTCTAAGTACGCTTTACCATCTCCCCCGTTTCCCCCCCGCTCACCCCTTCTCGGTGATTATCTTTATATGTATCCTCGCATCTTAACCCCCCATTGCACCGCACCCGCGCGTCTGCGCCTGGTCAGAGTCACGGTCCTCCACATCATGCAACGTTTTTCAGCTCTCATCCGCTCATTCGTCGCGCTCGCCGATGGCTGATTCTCATACCACCCACACTCCGCCATCCTCGCATCTCCCATGGATGCTTCTTTCGGAGTCGAAAATCTAAACATTCTAAAATCGACGGGTATAGCCCATTAGGGGGGGGAGGGCACCACATAGCCATAGGGAGTACGAATCCCCCACGCTGCGTCCCGGAACACACAGCCTTGCCTTGGCAAACGAATCTGACTCTGATGACGAGTTTCACTGATCCATATCTCGGTTTTTTTGCACAGGTTTTGGGAGGAAGGTTATATGTGGGGGACCCCGTTCACTTGGTTTTGTATCACCAAATCACAGGCAAGTGTAAAGTATCATGTGTTTCTCCAAATGCGCAAAACGCAAAACATCATTCGGCCATGGGATGACGAGGGGCGTCAACTTGAAGCTCAGAAACGCGCGCCCAAACAGAAAAAGAAAAACGACAAAAAAGCACTCGAATAGAACGACGTTTCGGATAATTACAAAAAGGGATGTTTACAAGTACTTAAGAGGATGCGTACTATCGTAAAGACACTGATTCACATTATAAATGTATATAGATATATATATAAAACCCCCCACGTTTGATTTCCCCTCACCATTTTTGGTCTCGTTACTCTTTATCAAAACACTATGAAAGAGAGAGGACGGAAAGATGACTGGGAAATAATGAAGAAAGGAGCCAAGAGAAGAAGTTGACATTACGAAAAACACTTCAAAAAAGGCTTGAAATTTGAAAGGCTTGAAATGAATGGAGTAGAACAAAGACAGAGTGGAAATGTGCAAAAAAAGTTAAATTATGTATGCTTAGATCATAACCCCCCGCAAAACAAAAAAAATTCAACAACAACAACAGAAAAGGGTGGCAAGGCGCGATCAAGAACAAGATGAGACAGTAAGAGAATTGAGTAGTGAGAGATGACAAACGAAAAATGAGAAACTCGAGTCAGCCAAGACGAAGCAAGAAAGAAATGTGAGAGATTTGACGAGAGGGGTGCTATTGATAGGTTGATAGGTTGGATGAGGGGGTGGGATAGGCAGGAGGGGTGATGGTGATGGGATGATGGCTCGAGACCAGAAAAGAGTCACATCTGTCATCGAAACCACCCGTATGGAGAGGGGATCAAAATCGAAGCAAAAAAGCAAAAAGAGAAGAACGAAAAGGGAACGAAAAGGGGGGACTTTGAAGACTTTGAACAGACACCAGGCGAATAAACGCTCTGAAACAAAAGAATGAAAAAAAATGTACGATACCAAAAAAACGAAAAAGAAAAACGAAAATCAGAGGGACGAACGAAAACGAAAAAAAAAAAACAATGTAACAGAAATCGAGAGGAGAAAACAACTAGAAAGATCACTCGATACCTCCACCTGAATAAACGTGGAAAATCAGCCTCTACACCCACACTCTCGATCAAAACCATCAACCACATACCCAAGCATCACATCCCATCATGACATCATCATCGTCACCCCTCACTCTCCCTCGCAACGCACCTCAAACCCCACCCTCGCCAGCGCGAAAACTCAAGTGTTCCCGTCTCACCAAATCATACGGTACCAGTACTCTGCGAATCATCCCAGACACTCCAAACACCCCAGTCTAGACCTCGCCCGCAAATCAACTCGCACTCCACCCCACTCCACCCTCATATAGAACCTCGCATTTGCAAAAAGGGTCAGAGATGGTTGATGTGGGAGTGGCGCGAGGGGGTGCCAGGGGGATCGTATCGTGTAGGGGAGTCGAGACATTCGCGTTCGCGTGCGGTAAGTGGGTGGTGGTGGACGATATCTTTGGGTGGGTGTGGTGTGGTGTGGAATGACGAGTGGTGAGTGGTGAGTGGGTGGGGGAATGGAAGTTATAAACGATAGGATATGATGATGTGATGATATGACTGATTGATATGACGAATGTATGAGTGTCGAGTGTCGAGTGTAAGGGCGTCGATTTGGAGTTCGGGAGTTACAGAATAGATTCGAGAATGTCGGTGAGGGTGAGTGGTGAGTGTGGAATACCCCGACACGAAGATACGGACGAGTAGATAAGCAGGACTATAACAGTCGGAGAGTCAAAGTCGAGGGTAGGCGACGGGAGGTGACGAATGGCGAGTGACGGATGGCAGATACGAAACAGAGGGAACAAGATAGAGGAGAGAACGAGAACGAGAACGAGAGGAAAAAAGAGCACACTAGCGATACAATGTTTTGCACAAAAAATCACAATAAAATCACGTCCGTCCCATCCATCCATCCGCGTCCGTCCCAGTCCACTTGGCGTCTCCATCCGAGTTGAGTCGAGGGTAAAGCAAGTCGAGTCGAGTCGGGGAGCGATTCGGGAGGGGGAGGGTATCAAGGGGATATGGGGTATACACCTAAATAAAGAAAATACAACCCCCTCCCTTCCCCCTCTCCTCCTTGCTTGTAACGAATGACTTCAAGACAGGACGAAGACGACGTGGGGGCAGGGCATATGGGGTGGGGATGGGAGGGAGGGAGGGAGGGGGACAGAGGGCAGAGAACGGAGAACGGACCAACAGTCAGCCGCCCATTTTACGCCAGCGCCAACCCCAACGCCTTCTCCTCCCTTTCCTTCTCCTTATGCCTACTCACTTTCTCAACCCCAGCTCCAAGCGCCGTCTTTCTCGTTTCCTAAAAACAGACGCGAAACACAAAAGGAAGGGGAAAGAGAACGTCAGTCAGAAGAGTGTTTAACGATATGAGATCAGAATGAGAAATGAGAAAAGGGGGCGTCGAAAAGGCATTGTGGCCACAGATCAAAGAACCACTACCGCCAAGTGCCGATAGCGGACAACCCACAAAGCCCACAAAACCCAAAAACGCCAACGAAAAAAGCAACCAAAGAAAAACCACACACCTCCTCATCAACCTCCTCCTCTTCTTCTTCTTCTTCCTCGTCCTCCTCATCGCGCTCCCCCTCCTCCTCACTCTCGCTCTCACCCCCACTCGAGCCCGACATCGTCGTCGACATCGAGTGCGAAGTGGACGTCGAGGTGGAGGTGGAGCCTGAGTGCGAGTTCGCCTGGGACACCTCGCTCTCCCTGCTCCCCCTTCTCTCCCTTCCTCTCACTTCGTCGGCGTCAGCAGCTGCGGCGTCGTCGTTATCGCACGACGAAGCTGCCACGTCCTCGGGACCGGCATCATCCATGACACCCATCACCTCAGACACCAACGGCGCGTCCTGCCCGCCCTCGCTCACCCCACTCCCAGCACTCCCACCGCTCGCAGCACTGATCGTCCTCACCATCCCCCGCGCACGACTATGACTATGGCTATGGCTATGACCGTGTGCGTGGCCGTCACGCCGCGAGTGGGAGTGGTGTCGGCGGTGCGGGGGGAGGGTGACGGCCGTCGTGTAGTGTTCCTGCTCTTGTTCTAGCTCTTGCTCTTGTGATTTCGCATCGCCATCGACCAGGTCGTGCGACTCGCGCGGGAACTCTACCCCCGCCTCTGCCTCCGCCTTGGGCGAGGAAAGGGCGGGTGAGATGGATGCGGACGGGGTTTCTTTTTCTTGGACGGGCGACACGACCGCGATGGGGAACTCGATATCCTCGTCAACCGCCTTCACTCTCTCTCCATCCGCGGCTGGGCCCTCAGGGGTAGACGCCGCAGCCGGTTTGGAGTCATCAGAAGAGTCAGAAGAGCCAAGAGGACTAGAAGAGTCAGAAGAGCTGGGAGAGTTTGCAGCAGCAGCCGCAGCGCTCTCCCGCTCCTCCCTCTCCCTCTTCTCCTTCTCCTTCTCCCTCATCTCCCTCCTCTTCCTGACCCATCCCATGCCACTGCCGTCGTCGTCAGCGCCACCGGATGCGCCACTGCCAACGACGCCAAAGCCTACCGCGTCTCCACCATCTGCTTTAGCATCGCCATTGGCACTCACATTTGGGTTCACGTCTGCAATGGCGTTGGCATCACGCCTCTTCCTGGCATCACCTTCACTCGGCTTGACGCCAATGACATCGCCCCCCCTCTGGAGGCCCCTCCACCTGGCACTGGCGTCTCCGCCACTGGCCGCGCCGCCGCCGACGGCACCCATACCGCCATAGCCCCACTCGACAAACTCGGGCTCTGCAGGTACGTTTGCAAAGGGGTTTGCGTTGTGCTGGTTGGAGGGGTGTCGTCTGTGTCGTTTGAGGCCGTATATGCGACCGTTGAGCATGGGGACGGGGGTCTGTTGGGGGCGTGGGGAGCGGGGAGGCTGAGTCTGGGTGGATGCACGTTTGTTGGTGGTGCTCTTTTGGGAGGTGGGGGTGGAGGGGGAGGAAGGTAGTTTTGAAGAGCGGACGGGGGAGGAGGAGGCGGAGGAGGAGGAGAGGGAGGAGGAGGGGAAGGGGGCGCGGCCGCGTGGGCGGTCCGAGGCGAAGGACTGGGCAGAGTAGGTGCGTGGGAGGGGGACGCCTCACCAACGCCTGGTGGGGTCTGACGAGTTTGAATGACCAGCGGTGGAGAGCGCTGTCCGTGGACTGCCTGGA